AACAAAAACAGACGCCGAAACAGGGGCAGCTGATTCTTCGGGGACCGGGTCGTTGGACAGCGGCGACCGGGAGGGAGTGAAATTTCTGAACGACAAGAAACAGTCCAAGAATTTCTCGGCAAGAAGCACGAGAAGGGCTCGGGCCGCGCCCGCCAGGCCGGTCTGACAGGTCAGTGGCGACCAGAGTCCCAAGAGTTCCGACGACGCGCGGAGAGCTTCAGGGTCCGCCAAGAGGTCCAGGCCGAAGTGGGCAGGCTCGGGCAAGACCCCGCGCCCCCCCCCCGCGTTCCGGCACAATCGGAGGCGACGTGGGGCCCCGGGGCGCTGGCGCAGAAGTCCGACAAGTTGGTTAAGTCCGAGGCTCGCGTCTTCACAGGAAGGCGCCTGCCGACGCCGAGAAGGCGACGACGTGCAAATCTGGGCAGGTGCGCAGGCCTGGCTCCAGTCCCGCTCCATCGTGGAGGCGCATCGCCTGCGCGCGCAGATCATCCCCGACGGGGAGGCCCCCCCTCACCAAGGACCAGCTGGCGCTCAAGCCCGCGCAGGTGTTGCAGGAGAGGTTGCATCGAAATGGGCGGACGCGCCCGCGGCCGCTTCTGATCTCCAAGGACCCGTCGGCCAACGGGCTCGGACTGGGGTTCATCTAGCTTCTCTCGTCGTAGGTGTCCGAGTCGGCTCGCTTACGTACCCTGTCTCCTCCTCCTCTTCCTCCCTTTCGCCCCCAGCGTGCCGTGCCATGACCTGCGCGCGGCCTGGTAAAGTGTTTGTTTGGAATGAGCGTGATTTTTTCCTGGAAGGGTCGAGGCGGCCACGGTAGTTCCAATCTTGTCGGTTCCTACGCAGCTTGACATGTTTGTCAGTACCATGTGGGTGTGCGCCCTCTCCTGGTGCGTTGCAGAATAGTTGATATGTTTCTGCAGGGCGCGCCTCCGTTGCCGTAACGGTCTGGGGGGGGTGAAAGTTACGTCCTGCCCCATGGCCGCGTTGGAAGATAGCCCCCTGCGGCTGCGACACCCGTGCGCGGTGACTGCTTTAGACGACAGCCCAGCCAGGAGGCGCCTGCAGTTTTCAAGGTGCGGAAAGTCGTGGAATCGCCAGTCTTCGATGAGTTGAACCGCTCAACGCAAGTGGGTTGTGCCGGGACGAGGCTGCACGTTCGCAGTTTGGAATGCATCGGTGGGCATCGTCTTCTTTGCAATGTATCGGTGGGCATCGATTTCATACACATTTTCTTCGCGAGCCACCTGGAGGGTGCTGCCGTTTCGGCGGACTGGATATTGCCACAGCGGGAGGTGCTCACCCGCCCTCCCTGGCCTTCCTTGATTTCTGTCACAGCGATCTTGATCGAGCACGCGAGGTGAAACAGGAAGTGTTCGTGAGAGTTTTCGAGGCTCATGTTGTGTGTTCTCGTTGGCGTCCCCGTTCGCGCGAAGGTGTTGCCTGTACCACCTCGGCTACGACACATGTCCGCGGATTGGTGGAATCGGCGCAATGGGAAAGGATGGGAGGGAGAGATCGGATGTTGGATATGACGTGAGCGCACCTAGTCTGCCTCTCCTCCCTCTCTTCTCCCTCCCCTCCCTCAACCCTCCCCCCTCCCCCTCCCTCTCCCCCGCCCTCCCGATGCTGGCGCCGCTCCTCCGGCGCGCGGCGAACGCCGATGTCCGGCGAGCCGCGCGCGCGCCTTTCGCGCCCTGGCGCGGCGGGGCGGGGGCGTTCACCTCAGCAGCCTCAGCGGCCCAGCCTCGCCGTCGGTCCGGGACCTCCTCTTCCTCGCCGAGGAGGGAAGGTGTCCTGAGGGACCGATGCCGTTGCCAACACATGGATGGATTTGTCTTGTTTTTGTATCGAGAACGTTGCTTCTTCCGGTGGTCTTTGGTCCTGAGTCCCGCCTAATATCATCACACCACGACCCCGCCAAAGGCGAGGCCATGGTGCTAGTTGAGTTTTGTTCCTGCTCATCCAGCTTTATCGATCCAGTCTTGAGCTAGCACCGACCCAGGCGCAAATCAACAGCAAATCCTGAGGGACGCGTGTCTGGAGGGAAACGTGGGGCGGAGGAAGGGGGGCGGGAGGAACCGGGGGAACAGGAACACGGGATGGGGAGGAGGAGGAGGAGGGGGAGGAGGAGGAGGAGGAGGAGGAGGAGGACGGGGGAGGAGAAGGAGGAAGAGGAGGAAGAGGAGGGGGAAGGGGAGGAGGACGAGGGAATGGAGGAGGAGGGAAATTGAAGAGGAGGAGGGGGGACACGAGGAGGAGGAGGAGAAGGAGGAGGACGACGACGACAAGGCGAAGGAGGAGGAGGAGGAAGAGAAGGAGGAGAGGGAGGAGGAAAAGGAGAGAGGAGGGAGGGCGGGATGAGGAGCAATGAGGAGGACGAGGAGGTCGCAGGAGTACGACTAGACGCTGCGATCGTCCGATCAGAGTCCGCGCGCCGTCACGCAGTAGGGCCGACGACGGGCGACGGGCGACGCCGAAGACGACGAAGGTGGTGACGGGCGACGCCGACGGGCGACGGGCGACGGGCGAGGGGAGGCCGACGGGCGACGCCGAAGATGGTGACGCGAGGATGGTGACGGCCGCCATGGGGAGGCCGACGGGCGACGCCGAAGACGACGAGGATGGTGACGACGGCGCGCCTCCCCGACGGGGCCCTCTTCGGCGCCGAGGCCCGTGGCCGCCGCGCCGCCGCGTCGGGGGCGGCGCCCCCCGCCCGGCCGCGCCGGGCTGGGGCGTCCGGGCGAGCGCCGTGGGCCAGGCTCGGTGCACACACCGTCGTCGTCTTCGTCTTCGTCCTCGCCCTCGTCGTCCTCGTCCTCATCCTCGTCCTCGTCGTCATCCTCGTCGTCGTCCTCGTGCTCGTCCTCGTCGTCCTCGTCGCCGCGGGGGGCGCGCCTCCAGATGCAGCGCGGATCCTCAGACGGCTGTGCACGCACCGTGTGGTGAGTCAGCGGGGATTCTCTGAGATCCTGGCGTTGCAATTTCTCCACAAGGGGCGTTTTCGCCAGGCTTCGGGCCCCGGGACCCTCCCAGGTCGGTCCGGCTCGAAGAAATGACGCAGAAATATGGGGTCCAGGCTTCCGGGCGTGATTTTTCTCGACGTTGCAATTTGTGCGCAGGTTTTGGTTTGTGCTTGTGGGAGTCCCTGCCTCAGGATGCGTTCCAACATCTGCGCTTCGCCGAAAGGGCTCCAGGGAACCAAGATCGTCCCGAGCGGCCGCCGGAGGCTCGAGCTGTGGCCCGGAATCCGAGCATTTAGAGGAGGGCCGGTGTGGTGAGTCGGTGGGGAGTCGGGGTGTTTTTGCAGGGCTTTGGGGCCGGAATCCAAACATTTCGAGGAGGTTGGGCGTTGCGTGTTGGGGGGGGTCACATAAATGGGAGGGTGGCGAGGGTGGTCCGAAAAGGTATTTAAACGGTACCTAAAAGAGCCCCCTGGGGCTCCGAAGGGTCCCGAAAGGGGCACGAAAGGGCACCGTGTCTGACCCCCCCATGTATGACCCCCCCCATTAAGCCACGCCCAAGGAGGGCCTGTGTGGTAAGTCGGTGGGGAGTCGGGGTGGCTGCACGGTTTTGGGGCTTGGGCCGGATTCCGAGTCATGTCTCGGGCGGCGGGGGTCTCCAGGGTCCCCAATTCGGTGCGGTGACGGGCCGTGCTGTGAGCTCCTTCTGGGGAGTCTGAGGATCACCGCACTGTCTTTCACCGCTGCCTCGGCCCGTCTTCGCCGCCCCACGCAGGAGATATCCTTCCTCGCCTCTTGCCGTCGCCCCTTCCCCGGCCTCCTGTTGCTGCCGTTGCCGCTGCCCGTCTTCTTCGCCGCCCCGTGGGAGCTGCGTAGGACACTTCGATCCGAAGCGGCGATAGTGGGGAGGAGGAGGACAGGATACCGATACCGCTGTGCCGCGGGTGGACTCGCTTCTGAATTCTGGTCAGGACGCGCCCCCTCAGAGGTCCAGGGAGTGGCGGCGTCTGCTGCTCCGTCATCGGGGGCGACGACGGGAGCGAATAGCCCAGGAGGGGGCGGCATTGCACCTGTAGCCCGTAGCCCAATGCCCCAGATGATAAATCATCCCCCAGAATCCCGAACTTTCTTATTTCCGGGGGATAACCAGGAGCTCGGTTATCCAGGAGCGCCGATGCTCCATGTCTTCCCAAGCGTGCCATGTATGGACCTCGTGCCTCAATTCTGTCTACCCCTCCACCGTCGCGTCCGTCTTGTCGCAGCCATCTCGTGCCCCTTCCCCCCATGCTCGCTCCTACTCCGCCCCTTTCCCCGCCTCCCCAACCCCCACTCCCCGCACCCTCCCCGTCCGAGCCCAGATTGCTCCCACCCCATTCCTCCTCTCACGGAGGAGGGCCAGTTGAGACATCGGCGGCTCTCCCGCCGGCCCGGATAAGCTCAAGATCGGTCCCAGCAGTCCTCCTGGGGGTCCATCCTGACCCTTCTCTTCGATGCGGATCCAGCCGTGGCGACGAGAGGCCCCCAGGCGGCCCAAAGAGGGCCGAAAAGCGCCAGGAAGAGCCACCGCTGTCTTGACTGGCCCTTCTCCGATCCTCCCCCTCCCCCTCCCACCCAGGGCCTCTCCAGGATAGGGATAGTGCGCTCTTCCCCGCCAACCAGGGCCCTTCTCGTAGGAGGCCTGCTTCTGGAGCTACTTCGACCCACGCCGTCTCAGTCTCGCAGCAATGGGAGTCATTGGGTCCGATCGTACTTTGCTCTTTTCTCCCTCTTCCCCCCTCCTCCCAGGGATCCTTCCCACCGCTGGTCCTTGTTCGTCCCTTCACCACAATCTTTGTTTGTTCTCTCTCTCTCTCTCTATCCGCGTATTCCCCTCTTCCCATCTCTTCCTCTCTCCGTCTCTTTTGTCAAGCACCGCCCGCCGAGAATTTCCCCAGGGACCCGCTGCCAAGGTCGGCACCCCTGTGTAGCGAGCTCGGTTCCCTGTGTGGCGCGCACCTCCGCCAAAGCCCTGCCGAGTCTAAAACAGAATCTTCCTCCCAGCGGCGCGGGCGCGTCGCCCAGCGCCCTCCCGCGGCCCCGCCGCGGCTTCTCCACTGCGGTCTTCTCCTTCGAGGCGCGCGGGCAGGCGCCGGAGCAGACGCTCTTCGCGGGGCGCCCGGCCTCTTCCCGATCGACAGCGGCCGACGGTCGCCGACCGGCGGCAGCGACGGCGACGGTGCCGACGACGGCGAGGAAGACGAGGACGGCAAGGAAGACGACGGCCGGACGAAAGGGGGGATAGGGAAAGGGGGGGTACGAAATTTGCTGCATGCAGCTCGCTTCGGCCCCACCGAGGGGCCCATTCCTCGATACATGGGCGCCTCCCGGCGCCGGGAGGCGCCAGGAAACTCAGCTACGTGAGCTGATTCTCAAACCCCTCCGGGGATAGCAAAGGCCTTTGCTATCCCCCCTTTCGCCCGGCCCGATCCTCGTGTGGCGAGAAAAGATCGCGTCTGCATGCCCTTGGCCGCTTCGGCCTCAGGGGTCCTTTTTTACGGTGCCCCAGGACCGTCGGAGAACCCCTCGGGGTGAAAAGCCGGCCCCAGGGAATGGTCAAGACCTTTGAGGGTCCACGCTGCGATTAGGTCGGGCATGTCCCCCTACAGGCGGACTTTGGACGAAAAATTAAATACAAGTCAAACAATATGCAAAACATATCCAATAATATTGAAAATTCGCCCCCGTATTATTTTTGTTTAGCTATTTTTGAACATTCCCCTGTAGAGGGACAGGCCCGCCGTTGGGGTCCTGGGGCGGCGGCGGCGGCGTTGGCTTGTGGCCTACGGCGCGCGAGCAGCGGCCCAGGCTGGGCAGGGCCGGCCAGGGGACGACGATGGATGAGCGAGGGTGTCTTGTGTGCACGGAAGTTCTTTCGTGCTTCAACATTGGGGCGTTGCTGATGTTGTGGCTGATCAGCCACGCGCAGAGGGTGGTGGGGGGAGGGGGAGGGCTTCTTAGAAGCACCCCTGCTTCTTAGAAGGCGCGGGCCTAATCTGTAGATGTAAGGCCGGCGCCTTCTAAGAAGCAGCCTCCGTCTGAGAAGCCCTCCCCCTTCCCTCCACCACCTTGTGCGCACTGCCATATTTTGGGCGTTACTGATGTTGTGGCTGAACCGAAACGATTGGCTCAAGATTCAGGATTGGGTTGCGCAAGATGGGCTCAAGATCACTGTTCGCGATCCCTGGATGTCTCGTTCAAGGGATGCACTTTGTGATAGGATGGTCAGGAACTCCAGCAGGCAGACCCACACAATGAGTGTAAACCACAAGTGTCCCTCGCAGGATGGGGCTGCATGTGTTGTCGCAGTGGTGTGATTCAACGGCGAACTGCTAGGCTCTAGCATGATCTTGGAGACATTCCACTGTAATGGAACGAAGCTCAACACCACGCAGTTCCAGTCAGGTACCATGATCCTGAACCTATCCCTTGATCAATCCGCATCCTTAACGCGATTGGGGCAACGGTCGGCGACCATGAGAACGTACCTGGCCAGTTCTCAAGTCAGGATTGCTAATGCGGAATATTGGGCGAACTCTTCTTCTCGCATCCAGCGGGCAGCGACCAATGCTGTCATGGTTCAGCATGCTGAGCCATGCTCGGGCTATGGAGTCCCCTTGCGCACGAACGGACAGTCCGGGACGCGTAAGACTCGAGTCTGCCCGACAGAACTGCAGAATTGTAGGATGGCACTGGCATCGGGAACGGACGCAGACGTGTGAAGTGGCCGATGGGAGAACAGAAACACGCCCAAACGTCAAGAGGTCAGGGGAAGCGGTCAGCGCCGGCCGAGCGGGCGACCCTGGGTGGGCCCCGCGCACGCCCCTGGTCGCCCCCGCTGGGTCATACGAGGTAGTCGGGATGGACGAGGGGAAGTTCTTCGGGCAGGACAGCGCCGAGGAGCCGCGGGCGGACTCCCCCTGGCGGCGGCGGCGCAGCATCGGGGGTCAACTCAAAGGGGGTCAGTCAGAGCGCCGGATCTTGCAAGATCCTGCAGAGCCAGGGCTGCATTGACCCGGGTTTGGGTGCAGGACCGTGCAGGATCTTGCGAGGCATGATTGACCCAATTCTGGACTGACCTGGGTCAGTGCGTCCCCGATTTTAAGTGTTGATAGGGTGGGCCAGGCGTTTCACCAGAAATGTCCCCGCCACACAACCTCCGGAGGTCTTTCGGTTATATCCCCCCGCCTTTTCAATCGGCGGTGAGTAGGAGTGATCTAAAACCCCTTCCTCCTCCCCCCTCTCCCCCTCGTCCTCCTCCTCCTCCTCCTCCTCCTCCTCCTCCTCGTAGACGTAGCCGTCGTCGTCGTTGTTGCGCGGCGGGTGCCGCGGAAAAAAGTGACTTCTTATTGATAGGACTCCAGTCCTTCAATAAGGCCGCCGAGAAATAATGAGTCATCCTCTATTGGGGAGTTCTAGAGATGTATCGCGGTTGTGAACCTGAAGCTTGGAATTCGCAAACGTTTCACAGATGGAGGGCGGATTAATGTCAAAATATGGTTATCGCCTTAGCGCCGCGCACGTTCCTCGTAAAAGTTTGCAACCATTTCGCGGGTGGAGGGCGGGGCGTTTTCAAAATGTAGTCATCACGATAGCGCCGTACACATTTGCCTCGAAATTCTGCAGTGCTTCAAGGATTGAGGGCGTTTTTTTTCTAAGGGTGGCTCTCGCTTTGGCGCGGCGCGCATTCGTTTTCAGAGTTTGCAGTGGTAGTGTTCGTATGGCCTAGGTCCCATGAGTGTTGTCTGGCACGATTCAGAGTTGACAGGCGCAACAGTCATATTTATCTGCGGCGTGGAAGTGCCCCGGATGGTGTTTGGGCACGATCTTGGATTCTCAGATAGTCGGCTTCTATTCTAATGGACAAATTTTCGCAGTGAGAGTGAATTAACCCCATGCCCACGATAATAATGTACCCCCCCTTAAGTCGTTAGAGTTTTTTATCGTCGACCAATAAGAGTTTGGTCGGGGGCGCGGGGGCGCGGACGCCGAACTTCATTATCACTGGGAAAGTTCGCCATCGAGCTTACTTCCTTCTCATGCGTCTCGTGCTCTTCCTCCTTCTCATCATTCTCATCTTTCTTTGCTTCTTTCTGTATCTCTCTCTTTCTATTTATTTTTCTTCTTGTCTCCCTGCCCCCCTGAACTTGTTTATCGCTGGGGTTGATTATCCTGGGAAAACTAAGCACATGAGCTACCCTACACGAGCAGATGAAAGTTCTAATTTTCATTAAGCGTTTACAAATTAAATATAATAAGTTTTGAACCTTGGATTTTTGCTTCTTCCTCTTCCTCTGCTTCCCCTGCTCTTCCTCCTTCTCATCCTTCTGCTCTTTCTTTTATTATTTCTTTATCTCTCTCTCTCTCTTTCTATTTCTTTCTCTTCTTGTCTCCCTGCCCCCTGAACTTGTTTATCGCTGTGGTTGATTATCCTGGGGGAACTAGGCAGAGCGAGCAGATGGAAACCTTACTTTCCATTAAGCGTTTACAAATTAAATCTAATAAGTTTTGAACTTTGGATTTTCGCTTCTTCCTTCTCCGCTCCTCTCTCCTCCTCCTGCTCCCCCTGCTCTTCTTCTTTTCCTTATATATATATATGCATGTTCTTTGGATTTCCTTCTCTCTCTCTGGCAGCTTGATATCTCTTTATGCTGGGTCTGGCGGGCAACTTTTATTATCCCCCCGAAAACCCCGAACTTTATTATCCCTTAGGGTTTATTATCGGGGGCATGGGGTTATTTAGGACCTATGAAGCGGAATCTTGGACAGATGGTTTATTGTAATATTTTTGATGTGTTGTGGGTATTTGGTTTACACTTGTCTCCTTTATTCCATCTCCTCCCCCTCTCCTTTCTCCTACACCTCCGCAGTTGTCGCCTTCTCTTCTCCTCCACCTCTGTCCTCTCCGTCATCTTCCCCCATCTTCCCCTGCATTATTTTTCTCCCTCCTCTTTTCCCATCTCGTCCTCCCGTCCGCCCTCTCGTCCGTCGCCTTGACCTCCACATAAGTGGGAGGAACGCCAGGAGTGGAATACGGAGAAGCCGCGATTTTACCCGCATCCTCGCTCTCCTGCGCGCCCTCGGTCGTGCGCGCTCGCGTGGTGACTGGCGCTGGCAGTGCTCACTTCCTGATGTTCCTTTGTATACATAGCAGGTTGGACCGGGCCCAGGCTGGCCCGGGAGCCACGACCACTATGTCGAGTGTGGGGCCCGTGGGCCAGGCCCGCCTTTGGGGGGTCAAAAGAGCGTCCCGGAACCAGCCTCGAGATGGCCTCCAGGGGTGCCCGACGGCTCACGAGGCGTCTCGAACGGCCGTTGAGGCGTCCAAGACGCTTGAAGACCCATCCAAGAGGTGGTCCAAGAGGTCCCCGACAAGCGAAAATCGTCCAATTCCCATTTGAAAACGTACATGCTTAGCGTCTTCGTTTTTTGTTGATCCTCGTACCGTCCTTGCTAACCTCAGAGGCTCCCAAGATCGCCACAAAACGGCCCAAGAGGCCCCCAAGAAGGCCCCAAGAGGGTCCCAAGACGGCCCAAGAGGCTCCCAAAACTGTCCAAGAGGCGCTCAAGACGGCCCAAAGGGCCCCCAAAGAGCCCCAAGAAGAGGAGCCCACGATTGGGAACTCCAACTGAAATGTCGAGCCCCCCGTCCCACAAGGACCCTCGAGGCCCCCAAGAGGCTCCAAGAGGCCCCAACACCTAATATAAATCTACGAGAGGCTTCTGGTCCACAACCTAGGCATGTTCATGGGGCGCCGCCTGATCGGCACAGGTGTTGTTTGTATGTGAATGTACGTGTACGTATGTACGTACGCATGTATGCATGCATGCACGATTGTATATATGTGTTCACGCTTCTGCGCTAAAAGAAGCCCTATGCAGCTGCGTGTGGCACAGGGCGCGGCTCTCTCTCTCTCTCTTGTAATATACTGCGCGCCGCGTGGCAGACTCGACAGGGGGTCGCTGCGGAGCTTGCGCGCAGAGGCACGCTGAGCTCACTGCGGGGCGCGATCCGCGTGAAGGGGCCTGGCCGCCGCGCGAGCGTGCCCACTGAGGCCGCAGGTGGAGCTCCTTGTGGAGCGCGATCCGCATGCAGCGGCGCTGAATCGGGCGTGGGGACGGCACGCGAAATTGCCCATCAGGGCTGGACTTAAACGTTGTTTTGGCGATTTCGTCGGCCGTTTTCGTTTCGACTTCGTTTTGCGGTAGAGGTGGATTGAAGACAAAACGAGGGAAAACGAAAACAAAACGAAAACGAAGAACACTGTTTAGGTTCAGCCCTGTTGCCCATGGTGCCATAGATGCAGATCCTTGCGGGGTGCGATCCGCGTCAGGGGTGTGCCGGCATGCGGAGGGACGCCATGCGGCCTGTTGGAGCCGTCAGTGGAGCTCCCAGTGGGGCTGTGAGCCGTGTGAGGGGTGCCGGCGTGAGGACGCCATGCGAGCCTTCTCTCTGGGGCCGTAGTTGGAGCTCTTTATGGGCCACGATCCCTGTCAGGGGTGTCCTGGTATGGGTGGAGCGGATGCGAACCTCGTCTATGGGGATGCCGGTTGAGCTCCCTATCGGACACGATCCGTTTGAGGGGTGAGTCGACAGATGCGGTGGGATGCGATGCGAATCTTAGGAGGGAATGGGGAGGAAGAGCAGGAGCAGGACCAGGAACGCGGGGAGGAGGTGGAGGACGAGGAGGAGGAGGAGGAGCAGGAGGAGGAGGAGAAGGACGATGACGAGGGGAGGGGGCAGAGGCGGACGGAGGCTCTGCAACGCCCACATTTTCGCAATGTCGCCGATCAGACGAGCGAAAGCCGGAGCGGCAATACGTGGCGCAGCTGTGTGACTAGAACCTACGCGCGCGAAGCGCACGTGGTGTTAGTTCAATTTCTTGGCGCCCAGGGCTAGTGACAGCACCCGCAGGAGGCTCTGAAGCTGCTCGAGCGCGTCATGGAGCACAACAAGAGCTACCACCTGCTGCTCGGGCTCAGCAAGCGAGACCTGGACAGGATAGATGAGGAGCACAAGGTTGCTAGCTCCGTCTGATCATGGTCACTATTAAAATGATGATGGCGATGAGGATGATGATGATGATGCTGATGATGATGCTGCTGCTGATGATGATAATGATGAGTATTGTTATCATTAGTATTCGTCTTCTCATTATTCTCCTTCTCCTTCTCCGCCTCACTTGAGGAAGGAACAATCTGCATAATTAGATATAGACTTCCGGAGGTCCGCACAGATTTCTTAGATCTGCGTTGGACGCGGTGGCGGCGCCTCTGGCGCATTCCTTGGCGCGATCCGCGCCCCAGGGGAGGGGGTGCCAGCGCCAATCCAAGAAATCAGCACGGACCTCCGAAGAAGGCTCGGTGGGGTTACGAGATTTAATATGAAGAGAGCTCCCGACAGGCGTGGCACATCCTGCATACCGCAGCCGCCGGACCCACGGGGCCCATTGCTCCCTGGGGATCCCGCCTCGCCTTCTCGGGTGGAGATCGAAGCAACATAGCTAATGTCTATTCCGATGTGCTATGTGAGGCCTCTAGGTAGTGAGGAAGGAGGAAGGAGAAGCGTAAGAAGCTGGGGGTTGGACAGGTAGAGGGATGGGCGGCTTGAGGGAGGAGCAGAATGAGGAGGATACATGTGACATCGGTGATCAGGATGAGTAACCTTGCCAAGGGTACCCTTGGATTCTTGCATCTTCGGTCCATCCTTAACCACTTTCGATTTTCAGCCCCGCACGAGAGAAGCTTCGACATGCGCGTCCAAGGGGTTTGCACCCTTATCGCATATCCTTACTATCGGTTCTGGCTGCAAAAGACGAGAAGAGGAGAGAAGAGAAAGAAGAGAAGTGAAGAGAAGAGACGAGAGGAGAAGTGAGGAAACGAGTAAAGAGAAGAGAAGGCACTCATCCTGAGGGATGCGATCGCAACGTGATGTTTCCGGTTTGGGTGTCCAGTGGGTTTGGGCGCAACGTTCGGGATTGGCCACGCAACGTTCGGGCAACGTTGGGCGCAACGTGGGTTTGGGCTGTAGGCATATGCTGTCGTGCTTGCACGACCACGCCAGACAATATACCAGCGCACAGGATGAAGGCATGGAGGACGAGATGATGCCGACTAGCAGGAGCAGATGGAGGGAGGAAGACGCACGAGTGCGACGAGCAGGTGAAGGAGAAGCGCCTGACGGCAAGCCGCACTCTGGAGGGCAAGAGACACGCGGAGTTCATCCCGGTCGTGCAGGCCTCCCAGATCGACAAGAACCCTTCCAAAGCCCTGGACCGCATCTTGAGGACCACGCAGGCGCGGGTCGCGTGGAAACTCTGGCAGACCCCGCGGGAGGCGCTGCACCTGTATGCCGGGGACGCTGCCGCGCCGGCCGCTCCAATTCGCCCACGAAAGAGGAGGAGGACTAGAGAGAGGGAGGGGACGAGGGAAGGAGGGAGGCAGTAGAGAGGGGAGGAGAAGAGGAATAGGACAAGGAGGACGGAAGAGGAGTGGGTAATCGCAAGGGTGCCCTCCCGGACGTCTGTCGTCATGAAGACAGTATTGACGGGGGTTGTCCCTCGGTTTGAGTCTCGAGGGAGGTCTTTTGTCGCGATCCGGTGACCGTCCAGAAGAAGCCTGGAACGAAACGCTGGTCCCAGGAAGGGGTCGAGAGTTCTGGGGAGCGCTTCACGAAACACCTTGGCGGCGAAGGTCTATGCTTGGGATGTTCGGGAGAGAGATTGAGAGAGTGAGAGAGCGAGGAAGGAGCAGGAGGAGAGTGATGGGCAGGTGGAAGTGAAAGAGCACGACAAAGCAGAGTGCAGGAAATGGAAGGGCGGCATCTAGACATCTCACGTGCCTTGCCACCCCCGGCGAGCGTGGGTCGACGGGTTGGGCCTTCTTCCAGAGGAAGAAGTACAAGAACGATGCGTCCCGCAGATTTTGGACCAGGCAGACGGATGAGAGACGACCCATCTGTGAGAGATGCAACTCTTCCCTTGCCCCGGTGGGGGCAGGAGGGGTAGGAGGGGCAGGAGAGCAAAGGTGGGGGGGGGCAGAAATACGGAAGTAGCAGGAGGAGCGAGAGGGAGGAGCCGGGGGTACACGAGGACAAACACGAGGGGTGGGGGGGGGCAAACAGAATGGAGGAGGGAAAGAGGGATGAGGACTGAGGAGGAGCAGGGCAAGGCGGAATGAGGCAGTGGAAGAGGAGGACGGAGGAGACGGAGGAGGAGGAGGAGGAGGATGAGGAAGGGGGAGGAGGATTTAGGAAGGAGGTGGAGGGAGAGAAGACCATCGATGAGGCATTCGAGGGGAGATGTGAGGGGGCTGTCGAGGAGGAGAAGGAGGAGGTCGACGAGGTTGGTGAGCAGCAGCACGGGGTGGAGTGGGGAGAGGGGATGGCGAATGGTCGGATGGATGTCTCCAGAGGTCCTTGCAGGTCCGCGAAGGTCTCCGAAGGTTCTTGGAGGCCTCCATGGCTGGAGGCCCAAACGGGGCCGATCGGGCTTCCGACAACCTTTATCCTCTATCTTTCTCCCTCTCTTTTCCCTCCTCCCGCCCTGCTGGCGTGGCCCCCCTCTCCCCCCCAGCAGTGGGCCACGTGGACCCGCAGGCTGTCCGTACACGAAGGTCACGGGGGCAGCTTCTAACGGGGTCGATGCCTTTGTTGTGAGCGCGCAAGAGCCGCCGCATCCGGAAATTCTCGACGTGTTGTTGTTAAGTTACATGGTTTTCGGTTGTTTGTTTGTAGCGGTTGTTAGTGGCAAGCGTTTCTCGTTTACCCGCGCTGTTCTCTTGTAAAGTCGCGGCATTGCCACTTGCAGCGTGTTTCCAGTAGAGATTCCTTACGATGTGCTTCCGCAAGACCGACTGCCGATTATGTGCAGCGTTCCCCTTGTTGCTACGACGCACGTCCGCGCATTTCAGGGTGCTTGCATTAGTAGCAATGTCGTTGCTGCGGCATTGCGGCGCTGTTTTAGGCGGTGCGTAGCGCCCCTTTCACTTGCCAGCTGCACGTGCCTTGCATGGGCGGACTGCCTCCGCGCAGCGATGCTGCGCCTGGCGTGATTGTGCCGGTTTCGCTCGACGATAGCGCTCGCGCATGCGGGCACGCCGCTATGCTGGTTCCTTTTGGGTACACGGGGCGCGCGCCTCCTTCCCCTTCGTCGAGGCACGCCAGTACAGTCGGGGCGCTGAAGAATGATCCCTTTTCGTTGTGGAGGGGCTCCGTGTTCCTTACCTGTTCCACAGGTTGCCTTAGGTTGTCTTTTTGCATTTTCGATGGGGAATCGAAGTGTACTTTATGAACGAAAGGGGCATCGTTCCTCATTTAGGGTTCCTTTGGTCAACGCCCCGACCGTATTGTGGAATGCTGTTCCATGCTTTTCGTCCTGCGCTATTGCGTGCCAAGGTCTCCAAGACGATGGCCACTGGTTGTTTGCTTCTCGTCAGGCCTCTTCCCCCTGCTCGTTGCATCCTCAGTTCGCATTGTGTTTCGTTGGGTGTGCATTGCGCGCATCTCGAAGTGGAGGGCCTGGTTGGCTCATGAAGAGCGCGACTTTGTTGACAAGTCATCCGCGTCGCGGTTGTGCGTAGAACATCGGGCGTTTGCGTTATGCCGAATTGTTCGTGGCAAGTCCCGCGCATCGTGACTGCGCGACATTCGGCGTGGCAAGTTTTCGAGCACCGCCAAGAGAACGTAACAAACGACATATCGTCACCCGAAATGTTCCAAGGGCCGCAACATGTGGCACGCTTCTCCGCGCCGTTTCGGGGCACACTCCTTCGTCATCGTCGTCGCCCCACGTCCCCCCGCCCCCTGTGAGCCTCTTCACCTCACCATCTTTCTTTTCTCCTGTGTTTCAGGGCTTTCACGTGGCACTCTTAGGCCGTATTGGGCTTGTGTCGGGGTCTTGTTGGGTTGTCTCGGGGTCCCATTGGTCCCACATGTCCCACTGGTCTCGCAGGTCACACAGGTCACACACGCCCCACGGGTCCAGCAGCTCCAGCAGGTTTCGCAATTCTTGCGGGTCCCGCAGGCCCATCAAGCTCTACAGGTTCACAAGTCCCACAGGTCCCACAAGTCCCAGAGGTCCCACAAGTTCCACAGGTCCCACAAGCCTCGCAGGCCTCGCAGGGCCCGCAGGCCCCGCGGGTCCCAGAAGTCCTGCAATTCCCGCAGGTCCCACAGGTCCCACACATTTCGCAGGTCCCAAAGGTACCAAACACGTCTCGCAAGTCTCGCAGATCCCAGAGGTCCCAGAAGTCCCACAGTTTCCGCAGGTCCCGCATGTCCCACAGGCCCCGCAGGTCCTACAGATCCCATAGACCCTATGGGTTTCGCAGTTCCTGCATGTCCCGCAGTCCCCATCAAGCCCGACAGTTTCACAAGCCCCACAGGTCCCAGAAGTCCCACAGGTCCCATGAGCCTCGTAGGGCCCACAAGCTCCGTAGGTACCAGAAGTCCCGCAGGTCCTACAGGTCTCACACGTATCGCAGGTCCCGGAGGTCACAGAGGTCCCACACGTCCCACAGGTCCCGCATGTCCCACAGGTCCCGCAGATCACGCAGGTCCCACATACCGCGAAAGTCTCGAAGGTCCCCTTTAGTTCGGGAACTCCCATAGATCTCAACGAGCACTTTTGCTGTCACCAGTGTGTGTTGCTTGGGTAATGTTTGAAGGCTTGGATGCGCGTAGTTGCTTGGGTTGCGTGCAGTGCAGAATGGGCGCAAGTGCGAAACGCTGCCCCGTAAATTTCCTCCTGTCCTTGATTTGTTCTGTTGAACTTGCGGAAGCGGTGGGCTTCATCATGGTCATATTGTGGCACGCGCTCGTGGGAACGACATGATGCATGTCCCAATCCGATTCCTTCGCTATTGCAGGCAAAAAACACGCGGGGGTCCCGAAGCGAGAGAGTAGTCAATCCTTCCATGACCTCCAGGCGCGCTGTCCTACTGTGTGTCCACCTCCTCCTGGAGCAGGGCAGATGCCGTCGGTGGATTATTCGTGGGCCCCCCTGGCTCCCTCCCGATGGATTACCACATCAGAATCCACTATGTTATTCGGTGTCGGCGTGTAGTTTGGCACTGCGTTCGACATCCTTGCAGGATACGCAAGCAAATTCCCCTCCCTTTTCTCCGGAAGGAGGAGTCGGGAGTTCTCTCCACCTGTTCGTTCTGCGCTTCCTCGCCCGCGATCCCCAGTCTTCCCCGACCTCCCCCCTTCGCCTCCTCTTCCTCCTTCCCTCCCTGCCCCCTTCTCCTCCCCTGCTCTCCACCTTCCCCCTCTCCCCTGCCTCCCTCCACCTCTCCCCCCTTCTCCTCCCTTCCCTCCTCCTCCCTCGTAATATCGGCGGCGCGCCAGGGGGAAGGCGGAGACGCCTTTTCTCAGAAGGCTCTGCGGGCTTCCGAGAAGCCCCACCGCCTTCTGAGAAGGCCCGCCCGCTCTCGCCTCCCCCCCTCGGCGCGCCGCCGATCCGCCTCCCACATCCGTCCCCCCCCCCCCCTCCCTCCCCGACGAGGGGGAGCAGCAGCGGGGCCCCCTTCGCGGGGCAACTCTGGGCCTCTCAACTGCACGGGCCCTTCAGGGCTTCGGGCGCCAGGGGAGCGCCACGGTAACCTGCTGGAGGCTCCTGCGTGCCTGCCGACAGGCCCCCTGGGCACGTCCCCCCCCACGGCGCGCCGCCGAGTCCCCTTTCGGGTCCTTCTCGAGGGAGGAAAAACCACCCGGACCGGACAATTGGCGTTTACTACACGGTCTTGGGCGTTTATTAAACAGCCTTGCCCTGTTTGATTCCTTCTTTGGGTGCGTTTACTAAACGGCTTCGCGTGTCGGGGTGGTTATTATCGGGGTGGAGTTTCTGCCCTCTACCTTCCCCTTCCCCCCCCCTCCTCGCCGAGGGGGAGCAGCAGCAGACCTGCCGACCGGCCCCCCCCCAAGGCACTTCCCCGCGTGCGCCCACTTCTATCCGCCGACGCCTGCCCGGCTAGCCGTGCCGCTGCCCCGCTCTGCGAAGCCCCCCCGTCCTCGGCCTCGTCCCCGTCCTCCGCGCCAGGAGGAGGACGGTCCAGGTTCGAGGACAAGGGGTAGGAGGAGAAGGGAGGAGAAGGAAGGAGGAAGGAGGAGGAGAAGGAGGAGGACCAGTGCAAGCGCAAGAGGCATCGACGATGTTGGAATGAGCCCTCCCTCCAAGCTCCCTCTTCATAGGCCCCTTCAGCGGTTCATTTCCACTGAGGGGACTGCCTCGTTGGAAGGCAACCGATTGAAGATTCCTAAGCATGCCAAACCATTGTTCTCGGGATTCCAACTCTATGGATCAACATGACTGTTGCGTCTTGGCGATCCTGAATCGTGCCATAACGCCATTCCTGGGACTTCAACACCGTGAAGCAACGTAACTTCTACACCCTCATAAGAATCCCTCCAGAGTACCATTTCTGGTACGTTGATCATGTGAATCCGTGAAAGTCTTCTGCAGTTTTTAAAGGCAAATGTTCGCGGCCCTAATGCGAGAGCCACATTTTGAAAAGCACCCGCCCTCAAGCCGTGAAGCTCTTGCAATTGTGAAGCAAATGTGCGCGGCGCTAAGGCTAGAGCCGCATTTTGAAAACGACCCGCCCTCCATCAGTGAAACTGTTGACAATGTCTAAGCCTCAGGGAGGATTTAAATATCAGGAAAAGGACTGTAGTAGGACGTGGAGGAGGGGAACAGAGGAGGACTCGAGCAGTCGAGGAGCTTCGGGATTCGAGGACCGGGTCATTAGCGTCGTCGCCGTCGCCGGCGCCGTCTTTTTCCTCGTCTTCTTACTCATCGTCTCTCGGAGGTGTTCGTCGGCGTTCAGAGGTTTTTTATCGCCTCGGCGGAATCTCCAGCAGCAGCGCTTTGGCGAGGGCGTTCCAGGGTTGCCCGGATCGTCCCGAAAGACCGCCCGAGATTCGAGTTATCACGACCTGAAAACCAAACCACGACCCATGATCATTATCCTCCAGCTTGTCGTTGCCTCCTCGCCGGCGCCGCCCGTCTTCTCCACGTTATGACGCCCTCCGTGGCCTTCCTGGCTCGGCCCGTTGCCGCGCGAGATCCGATCTGCGGCCGAGCTCTGTTCAGGATCGTGCGAGGCATGGCGAAGGCAGGGAAGCCATCCCAGGGCCTCGACGGCCACAGCGGAGGAGATGCCGCCCTGGATGCCACCGGCAGGCCCCGCTTTCCAGGCGCTCGGAGGCTCCCTTCTCGGACTTAGGGAGGCGGCGCCGAGTTGCGCCGCCGGCGGCCAGATCCCAGCGCCGCGCCGCGCCATGGCCGTGGTCGGTCGCCCGGGCTTGTGGGCAGGCACGCGCGGCGGCTGCGCTCGAGGGGGGCGGTGTGCCAGAACGTGCGGATGGAGGATGCGGACCGCGGGGGCGAAGACACGGCTGAGGGCGCGTGGGTCAGCGACGGGTCCCGCTTCCGTGCAGAATCGGCCTGCTACGTCGCCGTGTCGGGCGGCATTGGCCCCACCTGTGTCAGGGGTGCCTTCCCCGATCTGTGGATCTGGCGCCCGCCCCCCCCAAGCAGGGAAGGTACGAGGGGTGAGGAGACTCGCCAGTGAATGTGAGAGCGAGCATCTAATCAAACGGGGTCGGGTGTCTTGCTGCGGGCGAGCTCGGGCGCGCAAGGTCCGACAGGGCGCGCGCCGAGCGGGCCATGGCGCCCGCGCGAAGCGTCGCCGTGCAGGCAAGCGGCGCGACATGCCCACGCCGAGGTGTAAGTTAAAAGAAGACCGCACAGTGTCACCCAGCTCTTCCGACCCCCAACTCCGCCCGAGTCGACGGCGCAGAGTGAGCCGAGTTCGGCCCAGTTCGGCTGGTCTAGCACCGAGCGGTTTCGAGAGTTGGCCAGGTCAGGCATCACCCCTCCCGCAGACAGTACAGCCATGCTGCTGCCATGAGGAACGTTTACTAAGCAACGAAGGGGATTTTCTGGTCACAGCAGGCCTCGGCGAAGAAGAGTTTCCCTGGCGGCCCCCACCAAACCAGATGCACCTGAGCCCAAAGTGGTTTTTGTCTCAACGTTTTGACTGTAGCTCGATCCGCCCGAGCAGTGCAAGACCGTCTCCAATCGCACTTCGGGCGGTCGGGAGGCCAAGTGTTTGCCCCTCAGGGGTCCCTCTGGATCTGCGTGCTTGTCCCTGGGTGCCTCCCAAAGGGTGGCAGTGCACGTGCGGGGTGATGGCGCCGTCTCCGCCGAAAGGTCCGCTCGCGACCTGCAAAACTTCGCCCCCAGAGTGTGGGCTCGCACCATCCATTTTCGTGTCACAGCAGCCCGCGCTGGGCACTGCTGGCGACAACTTCGCCGCCGCCAGACGTGGGTGTCGGCGGCCCGAGCCCGCGGGGGGGCGCGGGGCCGGCGGGTTTCAACGAGCGCTCGGAGCTCATCGCCATCCGCGCCATCGAGCACCTCGCGGCGCTGCAGGCGCGCGGCGGTCGCCGCGCCTCATCCTCACGGCGGGGGTCAGGGGGCCACGCTGGTCAGGCGATCGCAAACATGGATCAAGGGGGCGCGGATTAGCGACGGGTCCCGCTATAGGAAATCGCTGATTTCCGCCGCCGAAGGAGGCGGCACCTCCCACGATCCATGGATTTGGCGACCGCGCGCCAACTTCATGGATCGCGAATCCATGATTGCGCGCACCCGAGTTGGGGGGGGTGGTAGGTTCAGAGAGGACTGCATTGGCCCCCGATCGCCCACACATCGCCGAAAGGGGCCTGATAGCCCACCCCACCCAGGATCGTGCAGTTTCGCTGACGGGGGCATCTCGCCGATCCACCGGCGTTGTATCGCCGATTCCAGCTCGATGCCGCCCCCCCCCCCTGAGCTGATCCCTCCCTAACGTTCCCCCTGAGGGGGCATGTGGGAAAGGGGGAGGGGGAGGGGGCAGTGGGGTGGGATGGGGGGGAGGAGGGGGAGGTGTGAGGAAAGAGGAGGAAGAAGAGGATAATGTAGAGGGCGAGGAGGCGGAGGAGAAGGAGGAGGAGGAGGAGGAGGAAGAGGAGGAGCAAGAGAAAGGAGGAGGGGCAAGAGGGAGGAGGAGGGGAAGAAGGAGGAGAAGGAGAACCAGTGGAAACCCAGGAGTCACCAACGATGTTGGAATTAACCCTCCCTCCAAGCTCTTTCTTCGTAAGCCCGTACAACGGTCCATTTCCGTTGAGGGAACTGCTTGGCTGGAAGGGAACAGTTTGAATATCCTGAAACGTGCCAAAACACTGTTCTCGGGATTTCAACGCCACGTCTCCACCTGACTGCTGCGTCTTGACGATCCAAAATCGTGCCAAAACGACTTTGGGGGGACTTCAACACAACGAATCAACATACCTATTGCGCCTGCATAATCCAGAATCCGTCTAAAAAACATTTCTGGTACGTTGGCAATGGGAACCCGTGCAACTCTTGCAAATGTTGAAAACGAATGTGCGCGGCGCTAAGGCGAGAGGCACGTTTTGAAAACCACCCGCCCTCAATATGTGAAACTCTTGCAAATGTTTAAAACGAATGTGCGCGGCGCCAAGGCGAGAACCACATTTCGAAAATTGCCCGCCCTCAATCAGAGAAACTCGTGTACATTTGAAAATGAATGTGCGCGGCGCCCAAGCGAGAACCACATTTTGAAAACCACCCCCCCAAAAAAATCCGTGAAACTGTTCCATGTTTTGCACTCAATGTGCGCAGCGCTCAGGCGAGAGGCACATGTTGAAAACCACCCGCCCTCTATCCGCGAAGCTTTTGCAAATTTGTATAACGAATGTGCGCGGTGCCAAGGCGAGAGCCACATTTTGAAAACCACCCACCGTCCATGTGTGGAATTGTTGTTACCTTTAAGCTTCAGAGTCATACATGGTGAGGAAGGCTCATGCGAAACGCCCAGGCCGCCCTAAAAACTGGCCTCGAGGTGCGACAGAGGGGAGTTATCTATATGGAGAAGGGATGTAGGAGGAGGAGGAGGTGAGTGCATGCGTGTGAGTGTGTGTGTGTGTGATTTTGTGTGTGCGTGTGCGTGTGCGTGTGCGTGTGCGTGTGTGTGCGGGTGCGCGGGTGTGCGGGTGTGTGTGGGAGCGTGTGTTTGTGTTTGTGTGTGCGTTTGTTTGTGTGCGTTTGTGTGTATGCGTGTGCGTTTGCGTGTGCGTGTGCGTGTGTGTGCGTGTGCGTGTGTATGTATACATATAACTGCGCACCGGGCCTGGGGGCCGAGGGCTGGAACCTCGACCGCAAATGTGGGTCCCGGGGCCCAGGCCCGCCTCTGGGAGGCCTAAAATCACCCAGGGGAGCCTTCAAACAGCAATCTGTGGGGCCCCAGACGGTCTCGAGACATCTCCAAGACGCTGTACAGGGGCCTTGGCGACGCACGATGCGTTTCAAATTGGCCTGGAGGCCCCCAAGACGCTCCAAGAGGCCTTTCAGATGCCGCCCAAGAGCGCCCCGAGAGGGCAAACTCGTTGATTTCCATTCGTTGTTGTTCAATGTTTTATGCATTCTCGCTGTTTCGTGTTTCCGGCGCTAAAGCACCGCCCAAGAGGCTATCCAAACCGCTCCAAGACGGCCCGAGAGGCCCCAAAGAGGGTCCCAAGACGGCCCAAGAGAGCCCCGAGACGGCCCCAGAGCCGCCCAAGACGGCCCAAGAGGGTCCCAAGAAGGCCCGAGGGACCCAAGGGACCGCGAACTGAAAAATCAAGCTCTCCGCCCCAAGATGCCCCCAAGAGGCCCAAGAGGCCCCCTCCGTAGCCATTTTGGCTCAAGCCTCTTTGGCGCACATCTTTTCCAATCTTTCCGCCTATCTGTCTCTGCAGATCTCCTTGCCATGGCGTATTACCGCTCGGGGGGCGCCTGGGGCGGCTCGGGAATGGGCTACGGCGCCGGCTACGGCGCTGGGTATGGGGCTGGCTATGGCGCAGGCTACGGCGGCGGTGCCGATTGTGGAACGGCCTGCTGCGCTGGGACGACCGCCGCCATGGGCTGCGGTCCCGCCTGCGGCGCGGGGTGCGCCGAGGCGACGGGCTGCGGCAGCGGCGTGGGGGGCGGCGTGGGCGGCGGCAGCGGCTGCGGCACGGGAGGTGGCACGATCCTGAGCTACGTGGGCCCTGGGGGCGACTACGTGCAGGAGACAACGTACAGGTACGTGGGGGCGGGCGCGGGCGAGTTCGGGGTGCTTCGCATTCCCGGCCGCGGCCCCAATTGCTGCCTGTTCCTCCTCATCCCGGGGCTGCTGTCCCTGCTGCTGCTCCCGCTGCTCTTGTTCTCGCTCGCCCCAGGGAGCACCACGACGACAACGGTGACGACGACTACCACGCCGTTCATTCCGACAACCACACCGCCTCCCGAGACTACGCCATCCACGACCAAGAAGACTACGACGCAGGCGCCTCCCCCGCCGCCTCCGCCGCCCCCGCCGCCCCCGCCGCCGCCTCCGCCCCCGCCCCCTCCGCCGCCGCCCACGACCACCGAGAAAAAAATCAATTGCGGCGAAGGTGCCCCAGAGTCGTGGGACCAGGCGAAGAAGGTGCAGTGCTGCCTCATGGAGAACAAGGGGTGCCCTACCACATCCACGTCTCCCTGCCCCATCGATTGCAACGCAGGATACAACGACCTCGACCCGCTGCAGTGGGTGCGCGGCTGGTCTGGCGAGAAGAAGCTGTACTGCTGCAAGACGGCCCAGCGGGGCTGCCCCTCGGAGTTGCCGCCCCCTTCGGGGCTGCCTCCCTCGGGGCTGCCTCCCGCCCCGGACACCAACTCTTACGACTGCGACGCCGGGTACCACCACTGCATGCACTGCCTGGAGCTGTCGTGGTCCCCCCAGAAGATCAAGTACTGTTGCAACAACTTCCACAAGGGGTGCAAGGGCGAGGAGCCAGAGTAGAGTGAGCTTCCAGAGCGGGCCGCGCCGGGTCGGCCAGGCGATATAGCAAGGAGCAGGCACATTATGGGGAGCAGTGTGAATCAGCCATCAATTGGTTTCCTGCCGGCTCCGCCCCACTCTTTCGGGCG